TCCAAAATAATGATATAGATTACTAAGTACAATGAACATGGTAGTAAAAAAAATGACATATGTTCAATATGATAAATTTTACAGAACCAATCACATTTAAATTATTTTTTATATTTAGCAAATATACTAAAATCATATACAAGAAACTGTGTTTATGACAAATAGGTTAAAGCAAGGGAAAAAAATCAAGTCTTTTACATTATTTCAATATTCAGTGTTTATTGTTCATTGGAGGGCAGTATAGAAAAACTCAGCAAAATAATTATCAGTTTAAAGTACCTACTATGACAATTAGTAAGACTAACATCTTTACTACCAAAGAGATGTAGAGGATTAAGGTAATTATACTATTTTTAAGGAAAAAATTCACTTTCCCCTCCATTAAATAAGTATTCAAGCTAACACTGTTTAGGAATTTTTCCATTTTACTTTTCAGTTCATTGTATTTTCTTCATAGTACTTGTTAGCAGTCATTTAATGGAACCTAACAGCACTGCTGAGGAATCTGCTCATATCTTTTTTTTTTAGCTCAATATAAATGTCCAATAAATGTACATGCAGTAATACCTCTTAAAAATCTATTACTTTACAGTAGAGAAACCTGACAAACACTACCTCAGCCAGATGATCAAAGTCAACATCACCAGTGATAAGTCATGATGGTGGTATGCACCTTTGATACCATGTGATATAAATGCCACTTTACTTCTGGGGTCTTCCTTCCCCAAATGGTAACACCTATCTAATCATGGGGGAGACATCAGACAAATTCCAATTGAGGAACATTTTTCAAAATGCTAGACCAGTGCTCCTTAAACCTGTCAAAGTCATCAAAAGCAAGAAAAGTTTGAGAAACTGTCACAGCTAAGAGGAGTCTAAGGACACACGATGACTAAATGTAATGTGGTATCTTGAATGGGATCCTGAAACAGAAAAAGGTAAAAACTAAGGGAATCTGAAGTGTAGACTTAATGCACGGATATTGGTTTTTTATGTGACAGATATCTCATGGGTGTGCTGTACATGGAACCTCTCTGTACTATCTTTGCAACTTTTCTGTAAACTTGAAATTATTCAAAAATAAAATGTTAATGCTAAATTTTATGAGCATACAAATACATTTATTCTTTTATTTTCCTAGTAAAATTAATTTTAAAATCATACTACTCTAATATTAAAAAATGCCTTCTATTCCATGTTGATATTAATGTTTTCTAATGGCCAATCTCATAACAATTTTACTTCTACCCCTCCACCCACATATATATTTGGAAAATTATTTGATATTTGTATTCTCCCCATTCTTGTAAATGATTTCTTATTTTAATGATTTCTTTTTTAAACTATGATTTAAACCTATATTATACACACACATCTAACCATATATATCTCCATGTGTGTGATTTTTTAATTGTAGATTCAGAGTGATGTTAGTGAACTGAAAACAGTGATTTTGAATCACATTATTGAACAAAGCATGACATTCATATATTCCTCCATCTGAAAATAATCTTGGTTGTATTTTTTGGATGAATAACTAAATAATACTTTTAAAGTATGGTTTGAAAAAAATATGGGAGAAGTGCATTAAAATGGCATTTAGTGTATACATTCTTGAAAAATGGGAATTTTTATTGAGCTGGAGAACTTTGTTAAAATAACACTTTATCCATGTTTATTTCATTTCTTTCTTATGATCATCTTAGAGAGAATATTCTGCATTTGAAATGAGGAAACATGCAAGGATACATGGTTTGCCCAGTCATAGGACAGAAATGTAGCTTGAAATCAAATTTGTAATTAAAGCTTTATATTTGTAAATAAAACTCGACAACCTGTTGTGTGTTGCAAGGATAATATTAAGAATGTTTCAGGGAACATCTGAAACAAGTTTTGGTATCAGTTTTATTGATAAATATTTTCAGTTGTAGCAAGTGAGGAATAGCTAAAATTTTTACAGATTTAATATTATTTTCTCAGGAGAACTAACATTGTATATTGGTCAGAAATTTATAAAGAACTGAAAAGAGCACATAAATAGAAGCCTTTGCAAAAGTACACTTTGAAAATTAACCTTTATAACTATCAATATAAATACACAGCCCGAAAGATTTTCTGGAAATAGCTTGACCACCTTTCACAATAATTTGCCAATGTATACAGTGCAAAGTTTTCAAAATTCATGTTTCATAGGGTACTAGTTAAAGGCATTTTAGATCTAGGAAATTTAGGTGGCATTCACAAGGTTCTTATTTTCTGATTGTACATTTTTTCCTCGATGCATCTGATATATTGTATTTTTTTGCAAATGTAATTTGTCACAATTACAATGACTTATTTTTTTCAGCATAAGTTAAAAGTGTATGGGAAAATAGATAAATTAAAAATTAAGAATCAGATATTATTTTAAATCAGATTAAAATGGTGAAAATGTATTTTTGCCCCTAATAAATAAACATTATCTAGCTATTTCTATAGTCCTTTTGCAAAACTGAATTATCAGGTAAAAATAGGATATACATTTCATTCTGTAAATAAGAATCTAGGCAACGTTAAAGGATACTTACTATTAAACACCCCATGCACCATGACCAAATATCAGAACTGGTCATCCTATGTACAGATTTTAAGATTAAAAAAAAGACCACATTATGGTCTTGATTTTTGCACTGAATAACATTGACATCAAAATTGTGTTTTGCTATAGTTGTTCATATGCCAGTGCACCTACTGCGCTTACAGCTGCCTTGTAACACTGTTGGGGTATCTATATTACCTTTGGGTAACATAATAATTATCTATAGTAAGGAAGAAGTGTCACCCATCCATTACTAGTGTGATCTATATGCAAGATCCACCTCTGGCTCTCCAGTTTATTTCTATATATTTATATATAATCTATATCCTCTACTTTTCTTTCCATCATAGGCACTATAGAAAAAGCATTAACCTCTTTCTGTGCGCATTAGCAGATTCTAACAGTATACAAAGAGATCTTGGCAATCTGAAACACATATGTACCTTCTAAAGTGCTAATTTTTCCTCAGGGAGGAATTCACTCACTGGGAAAGTCTAATTCTACCAAAACAAATATTGTGCTCTTGGAATGGTAGCATAGACACCATTTGAGGGCATTTGTTTGTTTGTTTGTTTATTATAGCTCTGTAATTAAAGCAAATTTGTAGAGTTTCAAATATACAGACATACTCTTAGATAGAAGCTTTAAACATTTTGAAATTAAATGAATAACCCTCCCCTCCCTCCAAAGTAGGAATTTAGCACAGAAATGCTACATAGCATGGTTAGGGACATCTGATGTGTAAAATCTACTCTAGAATCATTCTCAAAACAACTTCCTAATCAGGTTTCAAAAGGATATACTAACTTCAAAATCTGTATTCTACAAATGCCCAAGTTACAGATCAGGACTCTTTATAAGGGCCCTTATCTTTTACATTTGGTAAAATATTAAAAGTATTGTCAAACAGACAATTCATCTAAGAACCCAAAGTATCTTATAAAGATAACTTACGACTAGCAGGTCACCATCATATATAGTAACAACAAGAATATAAAGTGTACATTTAAAAGATTGATGCATGCAGTATATCATAATATAGTACATATTTTCTAGTCATGTGCACCAATTTATTGTGCTTCAAACACAGCAACAAGTATAATATTACAACATATATGTGTATACATCATAGTAGCATAATAAACTCAATTCTAACCAAAAAAATCAAATAATTCAGGAACAATAGAACTTCACAATAGAAGTGATGATTCTTTTAGGTTTTTCTTCACTCTTTAGGAAAAAAATACGACTTTTTGTAAACATCTTTATCATTTTTCAACATATTACTGAAAACTATTATTCAAATAGTAAATATCTAATTGACATGGATAAAGTATGTCTAAACACACTAACACTTTCAGACAAAAACAGGCATTTGTTAAAAGAAATTATCATTATAAATATTTTCTATCTTGTATTTTAAGTACATTTTCATAAATAATGTGTTTAAAAGTGCTGAATACGGTAGGATAGTCAGCAACGCCAGTGTAAACAGAACATTTTTGTTTTCTACTCTTCAAACATTTTTTAAAATCCCATTTTGTTAAACACTGCAACAGTTAAAATATTTGCATAGGGAATAGATAATAGCCCTTTTAAACGTATCTCCTGAATCCTATATAAATTAGAAAATTAAATTCACTTAAAAAAACAATTCTTAACATGTTTTAAGTTTATGGAAAAAGAAACTTACAATGCCAACCTTTCAAGTAAAATAAAATTTAAAAAGAAAACCCAAACTTATTTTTTTAATGTTTAATAAATTAAAAAATGAGAGGTAGTTAAAAATGACAATGAAATCCTATAATTTTAATATCATCCTTAATATAAGGCCAGTATTTTCATTGGATATAAATATTTTTAAAACTTTCATTTTAGGTTACTCAATATTATATTTAATAAGTGTAAGATTAAAAAAATAGCCTCCAGGGTATATTAATATTCAAATGTAACGTCTTGATATAAATATGACTCTGACTTTTTTGTGTTGGTGCACAATAGGATACTGTTTTCTTGAATGTCAAAAGTGCATGCCAATGTCAGGCAAGTATTTTGTCTTAAAGATTTAGTGAGACTTTAAAAAATAATATGGCAGCTAGGAGATTTGAGCACTGTACTGCCTTTCAATTATGGATGAGAATTAATAGTTTGGTTTCAACATTTTTAAAATAAGTAATTCTTAAGATACTATGTGAAAACAGTTAAGGTCTGAAATAGAGAATTATCTTCTTTATAACCCTTATAAAACTTGTGTTGGTTAAAAACTTAGCTTTTCACTGGATTTCACTTTCAAGGAAAATATGCCACAGGAACAGATGTTTTTCACCAACATTTTTTATGATGCTACATGTAGGCATTCCTTTATTAGATCCTTTCCTTATATTTCAAAACTAAGTTATCAAGCTTATCATTTTTTCTTGCTAAAGTACATACATTACACAACTGTTTGAGAACTGGAGAGCCAGCCTTTAATAAATTAATTACAGTATTGGACATGTGATATATACATAGATTCATTTTCTTCTGTTACAATTAAAAACAATATCATTCTTTGATTTGTCATTGAGATAGAAGGTCTTCAAATTATTTTGTGCTTTTTTTCTCTTTTCATCTTATTATTTTTTACACAACAAATGCTTCTGTAATAAAAATGCCACAGTTTTGGCAGTGAACAACCAGAGGAATCCCCCATTGGGATTTCCCAACAAACAGAGATAAATAGCTCTTTTTTCATGTACAGATATATTGGCTTCAAAATGAGTGTACTGAATACAGTATATAGCATGTTGAATACTATTGTTTACAATTTAAAAATTGGCTTTGTCTGTCTTAGATTATATTTAAAAACGCAAACTACAGCCAACTTTTTGGCAATTATTTTTGTAAGACCATATTGCACAAAAGTCCTTAAATACAGATATAAGTTATGTCATTGGATTAAATATTACAACAACTACATGGCAAATGAAGCAGTTTGACTTTGCACATGCAGTCTCTGGAAATACACTAGGAGACTGTTCATAGGGCTACAAATACAGTTTGCTTGCAAGTAGAATGAGTGTTGAGTAAAACAAACTTAATTTGGCAATTCATTGTTTTATGTGGTATTTTCTCCAAAGTTAACCATGGATAACCTTGATAAAAATGGAGACAAAGACCATATGGTTTTATTTTCACAGTAGCCTGAGGAATGCTAAACTGTAGTTCTCCAGGAACTCCGTGTCTGATGTTATATGACAACTTTTATTTCCCATCCCAGCCCTCCAAAATGATTTCTTTAAGTGAAAATTAAGATTCAGAAGTAGAACTGGCAGTACTTTCAACAAATGACTTATATATTTGAGAGTTCAAAAACCTTGGAAAAGAATCTCTGTGCATTAAGGTATATATCTGAAGTTGGGCATCTTCATACATGTGAGGATTGGGATCCAACAGATTTCTATTGATCACCTCTCTAACTCGAGAGTCAAGACTGACCTAAAAAGAAATAAGAGCAATACATTAAATCATATTTTTTTTTCAAATTTTCTCAATGAAATAACTAGAGGTTCATGACACTTCAGAGAAATTCCAAAGAGTGAATCCAGCTACCTAAATCTCAAGGTTATCTTTTTCAAGGCTATATAACCTTGCATACTGTTCTCCATCAAAAATTGAACTAAAAAACAAAAAGCAAACAAACAAAAAAACAAAACATTGTTTTTGACAATTTCTATTTATTGTTGGGGTAGCAGAGAATTCCCTCCTACTAGTATGTGACAGCTGGGGCGACCCTCTTTATGGAACAAGGTAGATATCTTGCAGAGCATAGTCCTCTGGAAAATATTGACATGTGTACCCAATGCTGATAGTTTCATATCCCAACAAGTTCTACTTTGTCAAGAGAAGGAAACCAGGAATGTGGAAGTTCCTAACAGAGCAGAACCACAGTAGAGATTCTTTGTGTCTTAGGTCTACTTGGCAAGGCCTAGGAAACTATAATACAGTCCTTCCATCGGAATACAAGCAAAGATCTCTGTACTAAAGATTAAGCAGAGGCAGCTGCCGATTTCACAGCCACTCATGGTCTCCTTGACAAACCCAAAAACGGAAGTAATCTCAGGGTCTTTTAAAATTTCAATTATAAAAATGGGCAGAATTTTCTTTGGTCATATTGGTGGTACCCATCTGTTTATTTTTGTGGGTTTTTCTTTTTGTCCAAACGGTGATATGATTCTGACCAACCACTCAGAACTCATCTCCACTCGGTCCCCAGAGGCCACTGGCAGAGCATTTCTTCTTAACAAGTTTGTTAGGTAATTAGCCTACAGTACAGGAAAGTTCAAGACCAGGTCATGCTCACTGCCACCACATGGTTCGAGATGTGAGCTGTAAAAACTGCAGGCTGGATCTGTGAGTTTGCCACTGAAGACAGCCAGCTTACAAGGAAGGCCTTGTGATCCTACAGCGTGCTCTAGTTCGAGACAGTGAGGGTCCTGAGGAGCGTGTACCATCTGATAACTCTTGAAGAAAAAGAGATAACTTCCTCTCTATCCTGGTCTCCTTCACTGAAAACAAAAATTTCATATATACACTGTCACCTTAGCATCAGAGTCGGATTCAGGAACTACGGAATAAGAGGTTATGAGAATCTAAGATGGAACATTTTTTTCCTTTCTTTTTAAAATTTTCTATTTTCCACCCAACAACAGTGTGTAGAGAGAATATTATGCAGATGCTATTAATTTCCCCCCTACTTTTCCATCTTGAGGCAGAATAGTCTATCTGCAGCTACATGGTAGGCTGTGTGAGGGGGGAAAAATCTGGGCTATTAGAGTGGGAAAGTATGTTTTATGTAAATTTTGAAAGGAAAATGTGTCAAGAGCATGGTTTTTAAACTTAGCTGGGCTTCATTCTAAAACGTTTTTTAACCCAATTATTTCACTTGATTTGCTAGCTTCAGAGAAGAGATCCGAATCTGTGACCAGTGTTAAAGGTTCAGTGTCAGTATGGCTTGGGCTGGCCATTGTGCTATATTCTTCTTGGAGATGAATCATAGCAACAGAGCCCATTCTCCCTTGTCCTGGACCCAAAGATGTCACCATTCCTTGTTATTTGTCACCAGGTACTTGGTGTTGATTGATAACTTTTCCTGAAACAGGGCAGAACTGCTTGGTTGTCCTTTCCATGTAACTTAAACATAGTAATATGAGTCAAGTAATAGTCGAATGTTAAAAAAAAAATTAAGCAGAATAATTGCTTGAAGTGGAATCTCTGAAAGGAGAAACGTAAGTAGGAATTCAGAACACTCATTAATCAATATAATGTTATTTGAAAAACATACAGAAATTCTGTAAGTGATTCCGTTATCGTTTTTCCTCACTAAATGCTAATCCCGTTGGAACTGGTAGGGCATGTTGGTAAGGTAAGTGGAGAAAAATTAATCTCAGTAAGTACATGTTTGGGGAACAGAACTAAGCTCTGCCCTGAAATGACACATTAGCAAAACCCTGCAAGAGGCAAACCATCACTGAGTCCTGATTGGTTTCCTCAGTCCTCACTGTTTTACAAGTAGTAGGGCACCCTGATCCATAGTTATGTCTCATGATGTACTCAAGTCTATACAAACCTTTCATATTTCTACCTAAATGTTTCATCACAATTATTTTTCAAAAGCTTTTTTTGTTCTGGCTTCTTGTCCCATCCACTGTTTCAATTACACCCAGAGTTGGAAACAGAACAAATGATGGACCACTCACATTCTGGTATCCCCAGATTTCTGAGCTCTATAGTCCATGTGGAACTGGGTTGATTGATACACCCTTGGGATGGCTATTATGGGAGGATTTGTTAGGAAACAGTGATTCATACTAAATTTCTGTGGTCTAGCTAGACCAACTTATAGAGAGAACAAAAATGAAACATCTCTTGGCTGATACATATATATATATATTCTTTGTCAGGAATTGTAAAAAGAGAAGTGTTCTGTAATTATATCATCTGGGTTTTATTCTCTGTGTTATTGCCATATGAGGTGATCATCAAGTACAAAGTAATAAAAAGTACAGAAATGTTTCTCAGCTTTGTATTAAAAAATATCATTTGTGTTTCTACTTAACAGGAAAATGTTGGCATGGGAGTTTAAACTGGTTGATCTTATTCTGTAATGTGGTGTTATAATAAGGTGAAGTATTACCGAGTGCGCTCCACTGTTTTTATAAAAGGTGCTTTTACTTTCAAACTTGAGAACTTTTTGTTGCAATGGAGAAAGAAACGTTAGATTAGTGATAAAGAAAGAAGGTCATTTATTTCTGAAACAATAACATAGTTGAATATAGTATAACAGTTTTTCAGTAGCTGGAATGATATTAATTATCTTTTTTTTAAATCTTAAGATAGAGAAATAAAATAACTTGCTAAATAGAGAAAGTAGTACCATTCAATGTTTAGTATTCTACAACAAAAGCACATTTGCTATTTCCATATGAAAAGCAAAATATTTAGGAAGATCCAAGATGGCTGTGATGTGGGTGAAGCTACACTTACCTTCTCTCAGCCAAACTGGAATCACAACTAAAATATAGAGCAATTGACCTGAATAACCAACTGAAGACTAGCTGAAGAGAAGTCTTATGACCAAGGATTTACAGAAGAAGCCACACCAAGACTGGTAGGAAGGGCCGAGACATGAAAAGGGCTGGCTCTGCTCCCATGAGTGGTGGCTGAGCTTCCAGAGGGATATCTCAGGTGCATAGGTTCCCTCTGAGAAGCATGGGGTCCCCAAACCAAGCGGGGCTCCCCAGCCCACAGCACCTGAACAAGGAAGGGGTACACATAATGTCTAGTTGTGAAAACGGCAGAGATTTTTTCTGCCAGGGGAGATGGGAGTCTGCTAGAGACACAGGTGCCCTTTGGAAGAACCAACACACAAAATCTCATCTGCAGCCATTCACACTGGGATTCTACCGAGGGAAGGCAGAGTGGACTGGAGTCACAATAGAACAGACTGGGTGTTGTGGCTCCGGGGAGAGATCTGAAGGGATAGCCACCAGGATCCCTGTGCTGAGTCCCTCTCCCACACCACAGAGGCCATCTTTCTTGGGTGGGGCACTCCCCTTCATATGGCATCAGCCTGGGGGAATATAATAGCCCCACCCACTGAAATTCATGTTGCCCCACACTATGGAGCATGTGCCCTGCTGAGAAGTCTATTACCAAGGATTTACAGAAGAAGCCACATCAAGACTGGTAGGAAGAGCAGAGACATGAAAAGGGCTCGCTCTGCTCCCATCCATGTGTCAGCTGCCTGGGCCAGAGTATACAGGTCCGGGCAGACTCAGGGGGTGTCAGTGATTGAATGGTATAGCTTTGGGGTGGGGTGGGGTTATTCTTCTCACTTACCCATGAACTACACTGGTGCCTCCCCTCTTGTGAGAGCCACTAGACCAGCGGTTCTCAACCCGTGGGTCGCGACCCCTTTAGCGGTCAAACGACCCTTTCACAGGGGTCGCCTAAGACCATCTTGCATATCAGATATTTACATTACGATTCATAACAGTAGCAACATTACAGTTATGAAGTAGCAACAAAAATAATTTTATGGTTGGGTCACAACATGAGGAACTGTATTTAAAAGGCCAGAAGATTGAGAACCACTGCATTAGTCCCACTCCCTGGACTCCCATTGGACCACCCTACCAACTCATGGTGACTCCACCCTGGAGAGTTCTGGGCAGAATCTGGGAAAGATTGAGTTGTGTGGTTCTGGGAAGGGGCCACAATCCCCATCTCCCTCCAGGTCTGACCAGCACCTCTTCCTCATGATAGAAACACTAACCCCATCCTCCTGATTGCCAGGGGCCTGCCCTGCTGAGATAAGGCTCCTGGCAGACTCTGGGACAGACTGAGTTGTGTGTCTCTAGGACAGAGTCATTCTTCCCTTGGAAAGGAAGAAGTAAAAATGTCATTATTTGCAGATGACATGATACTGTATGTAGAGAACCCTAAAGATGCCACCCAAAAACTACTAGAACTGATAAATTAATTCAGTAAAATAGTAGGATGCAAGATAAATATCCAGAAATCAGTTGCATTTTTTATACATCAATAATTATATATGTCCTTGGGCCAGAGAGACAAAAGAAAAAATAAACAAATGGGACTACATCAACCTAAAATGTTTGGGCACAGCAAAGGAAACTATCAAACAAAATGAAAAGACAACCTACTAAATGGGAGAACATATTTGCCAGTGATACATCTGATAAGGGGTTTATATACATACTTTGTAAAAATTTATATAACTCAACACCAAAATTACAAACAATCCTATTAAAAAATGGGCAAAGGACCTGAATAGACTCCTTTCCAAAGTGGACATACAGATAGCCAATAGACATATGAAAACACACTCAATGTCACTATTCATCAGAGAAATGCAAATTAGAACCACAATGAGATATCACCTCACAACTGTCAGAATGGCTATCATTAATAAA